TCTCTTTAACAAGAACCACAGACATCTGATTGAAAATTAGAATGGTGTAAATTGATGCTATCAGTGTCCCTGATATACATAAAAAATTTAGAAAACCTCTTTACAATCTCTTTAACAAGAACCACAGACGTCTGATTGGAAATTAGAATGATATAAATTGATGCTATCAGTGTCTCTGATACACATAAAAAATTTAGAAAACCTCTTTACAATCTCTTTAACAAGAACCACAGACATCTGATTGAAAATTAGAATGATGTTAATTGATGATATCAGTGTCTCTGATACACATAGAAAATTTAGAAAACCTCTTTACAATCTCTTTAACAAGAACCACAGACGTCTGATTGAAAATTAGAATGGTGTAAATTGATGATATCAGTGTCCCTGATACATATGCAAAAAGCTAGAAAACCATTAATTGAGATACCAAATTTGTTTGGCTCATAAATTTCGTGGTGACATTGATTTCTTGTTTTATAGTATCTCATTAAGTTTCCACTCCTCTCTAACAGTCTGATTGATAATTTGAATGATGTAAATTGATGCTATCAGTGTCCCTGATACACATACAAAATTTAGAAAACTTCTTTACAATCACTTTAACAAGAACCACAGACGTCTGATTGATAATTTGAATGTTGTAAATTGATGATATCAGTGTCCCTGATACACATACAAAATTTAGAAAACCTCTTTACAATCTCTTTAACAAGAACCACAGACATCTGATTAAACATTAGAATGATGTAAATTGATGCTATCAGTGTCTCTGATATACATAAAAAATTTAGAAAACCTCTTTACAATCTCTTTAACAAGAACCACAGACGTCTGATTGAAAATTAGAATGATGTAAATTGATGCTATCAGTGTCTCTGATACACATAAAAAATTTAGAAAACCTCTTTACAATCTCTTTAACAAGAACCACAGACATCTGATTGAAAATTAGAATGATGTAAATTGATGCTATCAGTGTCCCTGATACATATGCAAAAAGCTAGAAAACCATTAATTGAGATACCAAATTTGTTTGGCTCATAAATTTCGTGGTGACATTGATTTCTTGTTTTATAGTATCTCATTAAGTTTCCACTCCTCTCTAACAGTGTGTAATATAATATATAAATTATTGATACGAATAACTAGATCTCATTATCAATCAATCATTATAAAATCAGGACATGGCACTGTAAGACAGGATGTAGACTCAAACATCTGTCTCTAATCCAGCTTTTAATTGAAAACGTCTGATTGAAAATTAGAATGGTGTAAATTGATGCTATCAGTGTCCCTGATACACATAAAAAATTTAGAAAACCTCTTTACAATCCCTTTTATTTTTTTTCTTTTTCAGGGAGTGAGTTTTTGTGTTTATGTGCATCCTGCCAGAGCTTTGACAGAAATGAAAGAAAAAACAGCTCAGAAATCAGTTGACATCTTTTGAGGGAAAGGTTGGCCATTTTCGGGAAGGGTTGATTTGGGTCTTAATTATATGTAAATAGTCTTCAGAAATACTAGAAATGTACGAAAATCACATAATTCCTTTAAAAATATCTCAAACTAGGAATTTTACTCACTATTTCTATAGATGTCTTTTCTATATATCACAGAGTATCTTAAATTGACGAGTTGTCATTTTAACTTTCAAACGTAGATAATTCTTGAATATATGTAAATAGTCTTCAGAAATACTAGAAATGTACCAAAATCAAATAGTTCCTTCAAAAATATCTTCGTCCAATCAATGTTAAGATGACAATAGCTGGGTGCGAAGTCTAGATGGAATGGCAAACCAGTTTACTCCTAATGGAGGAATAAAATGGGTT